TTAAATACTCAAGCCACACCTAAAAATGTAAGAACATCTTTGCAATGAGGATGTATTGATTTGTCGATTAAAACCCGCTCCCTAAATCATATGTAAAAAGTGTAAAGAAAAAAGTTAAAATATATTAATATATTAATTATTTCTGTGATTATATAGACACTACCATTCAAAGTTTTTTTTTTTTCAGCAAGGGTGCAATAAATTGAGCAAGTGACATTTATAGTAATACAAAAGATTTCTAATTTAAATTAATGCTGCACATTTGAACTGTCTATTCATCAAATAATCCTGAAAAAATGTATCATGGTTTCCACAAAAATATTAAGCAGCACAACTGTTTTCAACATTGATAATAATAAGAAATGTTTATTATTGTAATTATTGTTATATTATTGTAATGATTTTTTAAGGATCATGTGACATTGAAGACAGGAGTAATGACTGCTGAAATTTTAAATTATATTCCAATAGAAAACATTTTTTTTAGATTTTAATATTTATTTTAATTTTAGAGTTTTAAATATTTGTATTTTTGTGTTATTTTAAATTTCACAATATTGGGATTTGTACTTTTATCAAATGAATGCAGCCTTGATTATTTATATAATATTGACATTCAAAAATCAAAAAAGAAACAAAACTGAATTGAATCATTCCAAATGCATAAGATCATTCTACATTTGTAATAATCAAGTTTTAATCAATTGGTAATGCACTGAATTAAACTATTTGCTAATACTATAGATCCAAGATTCACTTTAAATATAGACAACACAAGCAAACCTTTTAACTAAAACATTTTGCACAATGACATTTGGTCATGATTTAAACGATAAAACAATAAATATACTATTTAAAACAAAGCATATGGGCAGAATAAGGAGAATAAGCACAATATTCAGAATAGTAGAAGAGTTTTCAATGACATTTTTTCAATGACTTTTACGTTTGATCTCAATCTTTTGGGTTTCATCCTTAGCAGGTACCACATCACTCATACATACAGTGATGCTAGAGATCTTGTGTGCAGGTCTGGGGGTGAAGTTTTGTCACACAGAGGGTCTGTACGGGTGGCACGTATTTAGGAATACTAGCTTCCATCCGTCCATCCATCCCTGATCAAATCTGTTCCCCTCCCCTAGAGAATACTTACCTCAGGATAACATTTTCTGCATTCCGACAACAGCTGTACAAATGAGTCGAGGAAGAGTCTCTAAATCTGTATGTCAAAGGAAAGCAGAGGAAATGCCCCAAAAATGAAAATTCTGTCATTAATTACTCACCCTCCTTTGTGTTCAGAAGATGAATGAAGGTCTTACGGGTTTGAAACGACACGAGGGCGAGTAATTAATGACAGAATTTGCATTTTTGGGTGAACTAACCCTTTAATGTACTATTTAGGAAGTGACCGGCTGTTTTCTGTCACTCAGCTGCTGAAGAATGTGCCGTGTTAGTGTCACTTTTTCCCCTCTCGTCAAATGAACAGTCCCCAGGATTAAAATGGCTCTCTGGGGTTAGAGACAGGCACAAGGAAGTGATTCTCTGCCTTCCCTGGTTGAGAACAATCTCTCTCTGAAAGCTGAGAGGGGCAGAGATGCAAGAGAATGAAAAAGTGGAGCTCTTGAACAAAGCGGACAGTCCCAGCTGTGATAATCCCTACCTGGCACACTGAGCCAAACCCTGACCAGCAGAAACTGAAGACAACAGATAAAAGAGGGAGGATATTATTAGATATACAGAAGAAGAAAAAAGTGCACGAAAAAGGTGTTTAAGAGAGAAAGACAGAGAAAGAGTCGCCTTCTTTTTGTCTCATCCTCTGGGTCTTACTAGGAGATTTGCTCAGATAGGCCAAACAGGACACCAGAGAGCATCATGGGATATGGTCAGTCCACAATCAGTGTGGCTGTGTTTTCAGAGATATAGATAACACACTCTGCCCTACACCAGGCTGCACTGTACCGCACTGAGACTGAGTTAGTCTATTCTAAGTCAGTGAGCCTTGTCAGGACCACAGTACAGCCCCTATAGCAGCCCCTATTGATTGTAATCAGTACATTCTGTTCAACACAATAATATACATTTTATGTATTTCTGAAACAGCAACCTTGGCTGCAGGGTCTTTAATTTATGATCTCCTCAGCGAGTACAGTAAGGCAACAGCAGGTCTTTGTTAGCGCTGAGGTATGTCTGCCGTGCCAGCTGTCCTCCCACATTCCTGAGAGCTTGTCCATGTAAGGCAGGAGCAGAGAGTGGCACACACTGACTGAGGGGCAGCTTTCTCAAAGAAACCCTCAGACATAGTATGAAACTTGTATATATGACGCATGGTTTGACCATCATAAAAATACAACAACAGTATGGACTCTCTGTTCTCGCTGTCACCATTTATTATCATAGCTCATTGTGGATGTAGCAACTAAATGAGAAACTATTTCCATTTGTCAATCCCATAAGTGAACGTTTCTTCCGCCATCCATGACTTTATTTTGCTCTTGCCACCTGTTGATCTTGTATAGCCAAGAATATTTAAAAGGACAGTGTACTCAAAAATCCTGTCATCATTTTCTCATCCTCATGTTGTTCCAAACCTATATGGAACACCAAATAATTTTTGTCTATACAGTGAAAGTCAGTGGGGTCCAAAATAACACTGGACCCCATTAACTTTCATTGATGACTGAGATATCACTGAGGCATTTTTCAAAATGTTTTCTTTTGTGTTCCACAGAAAAAAAGTCATGCAGGTTTAAACAACATGAGGGTGAGTAAATAATGACAGGATTTTCATTTTTGGGTGAACTATCCCTTTAACAGGGAAACTCCTCTGCCTCTCACTCACATTGAAGCCTTTGCTTCCCATAATTCAGCTCCTGTCCACTTTCTCACTGTTTTGTGGTTCAACACACTGCCAGAAAAATTTTATGTAATACCAGTGCCAGATTTGTCATTGCTCAGTAATTGAATTTAGTGTATCTGGACTTATCTGTGGTTAGCTGTTCTGCTTGTAAGAGGAAAATACATTGTTGTCCCTTGAGTTTCAATTGATAATTTTTTAGGCATTTTCCCATCAGTTCCTGCAGTTTACTGTAAGGCTTTATTTTGGAGTTTGGCTCCAGGTGGGTGTGTTGCTGTATGTGAATGTGTGATGGTACTCTGTGTGTGTGTGTGTGTGTGTGTGTGTGTGTGTGTGTGTATATATTTGGTGGCAGACGGGTGAGAGATGGTACGGTGCCAGTATTTTGGAGCAGGTGGGTGTGTTTCTGTATGTGAATGTGTGTGGGTACTCTGTGTGTGTGTGTGTGTGTGTGTGTGTGTGTGTGTGTATATATTTGGTGGCAGACGGGTGAGAGATGGTACGGTGCCAGACAGACGCAGCTGTCTTGTGTTGACGACACAGATCTCTGATGGATAAATGCTGTAAACAAGCGTTTTCCCAGGCTCTTCAAGTCCATTCATGTGACTACGCTTTCCTAATTCTCTTTGTGTGTTAGTTTACATTTGATTTCTGAGGTTAAAAGCTAAAATCTATCAAGACAAATTATGCACGTTTTAATGTATGTGTGTATCACAGCACCTGTCTGAAGCAGTCCCAGCTTTCTTTACTGCAAATCCCAACATCATCTCACATCGGGTTTGTTTGGGACACTGGCAGGAATGTTTAGCAGCTGTTGGGTGTTGTAAAAGGTTATTCTGAAACTTGAAATCTCGTAACCGCTGTCTCTGTCTCTCTTTCTCTCTTATTAAAGCTACACATACTGTACTTGATCCAATTTTTAAATGTGGCTGCAAAGCGTGTACATGTTTTAATTACTAGGGCTAAAGACTTTTACTAATATTTTTATATAATATACTAATATTTTTGAGCTCTTTGGCAATATGTTTATAGTTTTTTTTCTTATATATACACACACACACTTTATATATATACATATATACACTTAATATATAAATTAGCGCATTAACGCAGGCGATTCATTTTTTCTGTTTAACGTGGAGCTAGGGTTGGCCACCATTCAAAACTGCTGTTTCTGTCACTTTTTCTCTTGACAAGAAGTGCATTTCATTCAGTTGCAGAACGTCTTTACGAGCACATCAAACGGGAGACGTTTTAGACATGCACTCCAACTTCACTTCAGCACCAAACGCGAGTCAAACGAGCGTGGAAACGGTACTGTGCTTGCAGCACCTGCTCTTCAATTGAATTTAGTGTTTGATAACTTCAATTTTAATTTCTGTATATTTCTGCTGAAGGGCACAGGTAAATATGACATTTATTATAATGGGTTTATGTGAAGATTGCTTTAAGTTCACTTGAATTAGAAGTTATTTTTAAAGTCTAATAAATGTTAAAATTGATAGCTTTTAATTATACTGTAATGTTGAATGGCTATAGTCAATGGTTAAATAATTTTATAGAGACATCAGTATTATTGGTATCAGTGATACTGGCCTTCAGTCATAAAAAAGATGCCATTAAGCAAATGTTAAAAATATACTGTATTTATGTTGTTTGTACATTCATTTTTAAGAATGAATGTAAAATTATTGCAATATAAAAGTATATTTAAAAACTTTAATGTTAGGTGGGATTAATCACGATTAATTTCAGAAAAAATGTGCGATTAATTAGTTTCTTTTTTTTAATAGATTGACAGCATTAATATATACACACACACACACACACACACACACAGTAGTGGCCAGAATTATTAGAACACTAAGAAAACCACAATATTCATGATTTTGCTTAATTTGACATTGCTAAATAATTTAATTTCCCATCATACTAAAACAGCGATGCTGCTTCTCACCACTACAGCCTAAAGGGACTTTTTGTGGAAACTTGGCTTTTGCTGAGCATTAATGGAAAATTGCTTGAGTTCTGGTTGGCCAAACTGGCAAGAGAACAAAAATAAAAAAAATGTATTGTACCCTAAAGTAAAAATACAATCATGTTCTGCTCATCATGTCTATTTTGTTTCTTTTTGTTTCCTTGAAAGTCCTGTCAGCGGCCAGCGCACAGGAGCCTGATCTTGCCCACGGTTGTGCCCATGGAAGCTGTTACCCTGCAACCGGTGACCTCTTGGTGGGTCGAGAGATGAACTTGAAAGCTTCATCCACCTGCGGCCTGCGGTGGAGAGAACCCTACTGCATTGTCAGCCATCTGCAGGTAAAGCCAACAGCATTTCTCACAGACAGTGTGACACATTTATACACACACTATTTTTGTGAAGAGCTGATCCTTTTCATTTTTGACCCTTGACCTTATTTAGGAAGAGAAGAAGTGTTTCCACTGTGATTCACGGCGAACTTATGATCCTTATTCCAACCCCATGAGTCACCGCATTGAGAATGTCATCACCACCTTCAAACCACACCGCAAGAAGTCCTGGTGGCAGTCTGAGAATGGTGAGAGAGCAAGAACTTCCATAATCAGCTAGAGTTTTTTAGGCTTTTTACACTTTATAAGACACAGATATAGGTCAGAGTTGGATGTACATATCCACCGCAGCTCAACCTCAGCCAACTATAAACCATATGTGCTAATCTGCAGCTTCAGTCATGTTTTGATGGAAATCCACACATCCGTTTGGTTGCATTTGTCAAAAGTAGAGTAATATGTTGCCAGGAAATTTGATTGCCTCTCTGAGCCCTCCAAACCCAGCTGCTTGGCAAGGACTGGAAATGTTTCACATGTATTATTAGAAGGTTGATGTTTAAGGCGTCTATTTATACCACAGAGGCTGAGGGAGAGAGATGCATGCACTCAGAATGAAGCCCAGTGCTGGGGTAAATTAGTCTAAAACAGTTCACTGAACTGAAAATAAATATTTATAAATAATGTTTTAATGTGCACTATTGCTCAAAAGTTTGGGGTCAGTAAGATTTAGTTTAAAAAAAGAAAAGAAAAGTTGATTAAATATTTATAATGTAAAAAATGGTGTTTTAAACTTTCTTTTTATAAAAATAAAATATATTATTTTTTCCGCAGAAATATTAAGCAGCACAACTTTTTCAACATAGATAATAATAAGAAATGCTTCTTGATCACCAAATCAAGCATATTAAGCAGAATAATTTCTGAAGGATTATGTGAAACTAAAGACTGAATTAATGATGCTGAAAATTATGTTTTATAAATTATGTTTTAAAATATATTAAAGTAGAAAACAGTTTGAACTTTTACTGTATTTTTGATCAAATCCTTTCAGATCACTTATTCATTGAATACAAATAATTTATCGTACTAAATTAACAACTTAAATTGACAGGCCTACTTTTTGTTGTACTAGGATGAAGATTGATATTCAGAATGGAAGTAAGTATGTACAAGAGTGCAGAAATAGAGGAAGGTTGTTAGTTGACTTGGCTCAGATGTCCAGGCTCACCCTGACACACACTCCCTAAACCCTGCAGTATTAGAGATCATTACAGACACGGCCTGCTGCTGGCATCCCCATAGAGAGGATGAAAGAGGGAAACAAAACTCTAATAGAGCAGAACATGGAAGAGAAAAAATAGTGACTCTGCTAACGTAACTGCATTTTCCATAGCATGATAGTTATCTGTAGTTATCTGATCTAGTTATCTTCAGTAACAAAATTTCCAGTAACAATTTACTTTTTCCAACAAGTAGCAGTGTAATGAGTTAAATGCAAAATGGTTGATTTTTATTTGTCACATTGTATTGTGCACTCAATATAGCTGTATAACGCTCAGTATTGCCCCCTACTGTAAAAAATAAATAAATACATTAATTAATTAAAATAAAATAAAAAATAACTGGAAATGTACTGGTAATTTTATGCCAAGGTATTATCCATTAATTTTATAGACATTTATGTTAGCATTTTACGTTAAAATACAGGTATAACGCCTGTAAAAAAAAATCAATACAAAATTTTCCTTCATAATAAGTACAGTGTGCCCTGTTTTTATGGATTTTTTTTGTAAGTAGCTTATAGTCTGCACTTAACTTTAGCTTGTAGCTTGGCAAGCTACAGTTACAAATAAGCTTGATGCACTTATGGCTGATGAGCTGAAATTATATTTAGATCTTATTTGTCATTTTATCCAAAACAATACCTCTTTACATCTTAATAGAGGTCCTTTTATAGTTAAAGAGAGTGAACCTCTGTGTGCCTTAGTTAGGGAATTCATTATGGGAGTTCACAGGAAATGGTCACTATTTTTGCTCACGGTCGCTATGACTTCAGTAACTTTTCTGTAACAATGTCGTATAATGAACAGTAGATCAGTTGTTCAACACTTGTAGAGTGTGTCTCACAAGTAGACCCCTGTCATGACCCCTATATCGATATTGAGTGGACACTGGATATGGTACATTTTGGTCCAATTTGGTGTACATTTTAAGGCTTTAAAAAATAATTAGAGAATACAATCAAATGCATATTTTCTTTAATTTAAGAGAAATTTTTATTTTTTATCAGAAACTAGAAACCAACATTTGGTCCCAAACTAGTTTCCCCTACTTAGTGACAGCTTAACTTGGTCTTATTTTCAACACTGTTATTGGCTTCTTTATGATTTATTTTTTGAGGTGATGTATTGATAATTATTTCACAATGTTCATAATGATGACAAAAATCAGAGTTTAACTGTGTGTTTAGATATGTCTAAATAGTTGCCCCGATGAATAAAAAAAAAGCCAATAATAAAGAAATAAAAACCAATGATTAAATTACATTAATTCAAATTAAATAAAATTACTTCAGGGCCTATAATGTACCCCTATTATTATTTCACTCACTATTATGTACCCTGTTTGTAGAAACTGCCTTATGTCTATATTTCTTTATGGTGTCTGTGTCACGTGTTCTATAGGGAAAAAACAGGTGCTCTACATGAGAGTAGTCTTTTTCATAGCTCTTTGGCATGTGCTCTGGATTGAGGATTAACAACTTCCTCCTCCAGCCAAACACTGAAACATGTATTGAAAAAACAGCAAGCCATTCAGTCAATTTCCTTTTGTGCTCCACTTCACCTCCGCTGGCCTCTCCCCCTCATTCTCTTCAGCTCTGGTACAACCTGTCTCTCTTTTCCTTCAGCATCCCTTTCCTTCCTGTTTAGCTGTTGATTATGAAACGCAGGTTAAATCCAGCAGCCAGACAAAGGGCCGCTGCAGTGGACTGAGTTACAGTTTTGTAATGGTAATGCAGGGAGGCACAGGTGAGCTCTATATGGTGCCAGCTCTGCAGAATACAGACCGTCTGTCTATCCAGATGAATAATGAACTGTCAAAGTAAGAGCTGAACAGAACCATAGATTGTTAAACCATCCCATCTATTTCTAGCTCTGCTCAGTCACTGTAGGACACTGTGTTTGAATGTGCATATTGTTGTGCATTGTTATTCTGAGCCTTATTAAATTCCCAGATAAAGTGGTTCAGGAAGGAAAATATATGATCTCGTTCACTGCAGTCGCTGTGTTGTTATTGTGTTTCTGTACTCTGGGTTACAATGAGAGTGTAATAACACCAGCATTCTGCTAGCAAATATAAGTTTACTGTTAATAAAAGTTCATAGGCTTTTATAAAAGCTCTGTCTGAGATGTTTACTTTTTTGGTATTACAGAATGCTTTCAGAAGTAAAATAATAATCACATGTTTGAAGTCATTTGTTGTGAAAATATTGAACCAACATAGCAAAATCTTACAGCAACACTAATGTTTGGGGAAAAAAATAAATAAATATATATATATATACAGTATGTATGTAGTAATTTCTGTATTTTAGTTATATGTTGGTTACATTGACATCAGGTCAATCAAGGTATGTTTATTGTGTATCATTTCCAATCAAGCTGCAAATTTGTTATGCAAAAAGTATGAAAATATTATTTAAATGTATAATTAAATGACCATTAGAAAGTTTACAATTTAATAATTTAATAGAAATAAAATACAATGAAATAAAACGACAAAAATGGTCAGTGGTGCATGTATGTCCACTGCATAGTAGACAAACTAAATAAACTAATAAATAAGTGTGTGAAAAAAGTTTTATGATGTTATATTTTCATCTAAAGCCACATAATTAACAAAATAAATAATAAAATAAAGTAATAAAGAGAGCAGAAATGAAATTATTAATGTGGAACTGTCTTCTCTCCTCAGGAAAGTCTGACATTTACCTTCAGCTGGATCTGGAGGCAGAGTTTCACTTTACTCATCTCATCATGACTTTTAAGGTAAGAAAGTTTTTGTCATTTAAGAAATCACCCTTGAAACACTCCAAAACTGACCTCATACTGTACACAGACTTTCCGTCCAGCGGCCATGTTGATTGAGCGATCTGCAGATTTTGGCCGAACCTGGCAGGTGTACCGTTACTTCGCCTTCGACTGTGAGTCCACCTTCCCAGGAATTTCCCATGGTCCTCTTCGTAAAGTTGATGATGTCATCTGCGAGTCCAGATATTCTGACATCGAGCCGTCCACAGAAGGAGAGGTCAGAGATATTCAGTTGGAAGACTGTTAATTTGTCAGTTAACTTGTTTGTTGACCTTCGCTTTCATTCCGCTCAGGTGATTTATCGTGTTCTTGACCCTGCAATCCAGATCGAAGACCCTTACAGCCCCAACATTCAGAGTAAGTGAAGCTTAACAAACCTAACCTCCGACTGAATAAGATACAGGTTTTTGCACTCTTTTCCATCATTGGCAAAGATCTGTTCACATGTATTTAAATTCAGTTTCCTGTTTGCTGCTGTCCATCCTGCCTCTTTAGTACATGTCAGATGGCGGAATCTAAAATAAAGGCATGTGAAATGGAAATAGAAGCTGATTTCCCCCCCTCAGGTCGTTGTTCCTGTACGTTAACTTGCTAACCTAAAGTACTTCCTTAGAACATAATGAACAACCTGTTTTTTTCTTATAGTAGGCAAGTGCTGTATGTATCATGAACAGGTCTTCACTTGGTAACAACCAAATCTTTTTTAGTCTGATTCCTTCCTATATGACAAATAGCATGTGTTGCAGGTGTTATTTCAGATACATTAATATATGTCATTTAAAAGCAATTTTTTAAATAAAAATATCTCTGCTGTTACAATGCAGTAGCTATGGTTATTCGGAGCTTATTTAGGCAACAGCTGGATCTTAATGAACTTTTTGTCTTTGAATATTTCATCCATTTATATACAGTATGTTTTACCTTTTGCATAACTTATCGACAAAGAAAATGTAAAGGAGCAGATGGACTTGTTAGCCGAGAAGTAACTTAAATATAAATTAATTAACATTTCGGATGAGACATTCAGTACATAATGAACAAGATGTGCTCTGATAACCCAACAAAGAGCCATAAACAGGTGCAGCCTACATATCATATACTCTTTAGACTTTTCTTTTGTCTCTTCTTCCAAATTTATCGCTCAGTTTTCCCTCTTTCAGATTTCCTTTGCACATTTTTACTCGTATGTGTGTGCATAAGAGTTGCATACTCATATGTACATTGAATTTGCAGAAAAAATGATAAAACTATTAGTGCATCCAAAATAAATGTTTTTGTTTACATAATATATGTATGTATTTATAATGTATATATAAATACACACACATGTATGTATATATTTAAGAAAAATATATTATGTTTATATATTAAATATATTTAGATATAATATGAATTATATGAATATAAAATTTATACATAAATACGTGTAAATATTTTCAAAATATATACTGTATGTGTGTGTATTTATATATGCATAATAAATATACAGAGTACACATACATATATTATGTAAACAAAAACTTATTTTGGATGCGATTAATCATGAATCATGATTAATCGTTTGACAGCACTAAAAACTATTAATAAAGTTAACGTTTAGATTTTTGACTAAAATAATCAATTTAAACATGCTATAAAGTGAAAATAAAAACAGATTTTCAGAAGAATGGAAAATAAACAAGCTATAAATGTGCACTAAAGTACAAACAAAATATTACAGATTGAATAAGGTTTTGTTGGATGGTCAAACAACATTGGGTGACCTCTTCGGCCCAGTGTAAGTGTGTCGAAGCCAAGTACCCTCCCTCACAGTGTGTGTAGCAGAGTAAGCTGATGATGAACTTCCTGGTTCAGCTGGTCAGTGTAATATTCCCATACAGCTGTGAGTTCTCAGTCATGCACCGTGTGAGAGTGTATAAATTTATCTCACACTCACTGTGTGGCTCTCACTTTCTGTTATACTGAACATCTAGAGCATGACTGGAACAAACAGCTTGTGCACAGGAGCTGCATTCACTGATCACTGACGTTGGGATATAAGCCCCTCACACCCACACACACACACACACACACACACACATGACTTTATGAATTTCCCTCCAACTGTTTATCTTATAAATCAAACAAGTCCCACTTCATTGAGTGTCTGTGAAGCGTAACAGGAGTCTATCTGCCACACTTCTGCTAAAGGCCTCCACGCTCAGCTGACTGCAACCTCCCACTGAGGAGCAGGCCATTGGCTCAGGGGAGAAGGGGTCAGAGGTCATGGGTTAACAGGGTTTAGGGAATTTTTTTACAAGGGTAGGTGGATGTTCTCATAATTGGGTGGTCATGACTGTGTGGTTGATGATGGTTTGGTGTGATCCTGATTTTTCCCAACAACCATTGTCATTTAGGCATCATATTCTGGCAATATAAGCACTTTTGCTGTAACAAAAATCTGTGGTTAATTGTATACCTCTGTTAAACAGGGCCAGGCCTGTTCAAGGCTACAAGATGTTTTAAGAATGTCTTTTATTACAGTTTTATATGTAGACAGTAAATACAATACAGACAGTAAATATAATTCATCTGAAAGATTTTTTTAAAGGTTTTTAAAAGTCTCTTATGCTCGCCAAGGCTGCATTTATTTATTGATAGAAATATAGTAAAACAGTAATATTATGACAATTTAAAATAACTGTTCTCTATTTGAATATGTTTTAAAATGTCATTTATTCCTGTGATGGCAAAGCTTTTGGTGCTCAGGAAATATTATGATCAACGTTACCCTAGTGAAAAAGTTATTTTTTTTCAAATACATTTATTTCATAAGTATAGTTCAAATCTATTAACATATTTACTGACATATCGCTTGAGACTTACTGATATAAAAATTATAATTAAACTTTGGAGTTTGGAGTTTTACTTGCACACAATGCACATTTCTTAATATCAAGCCTAAAATGTCACTATTGATGAGGATTGTATGATCGTTGAATAATATCAGTCTTTCAATGCAAGATATTTAAAGTGAATCTGAAGTATACTTGCAATAGTATACTTTAACACTACTTTAACACAATCAAATATACTTCATTGTATCTTCAGTTGGACTTCAGCACTACTTGCACACAATTAAAGTGCATTAAGTACAAAATGAGTTGTTCCAATTTAGCAGACTTCAAGTATACCAGTTTAGTATACTAAAAGTACAACTGCACGGTACTTTTATTAAGTACATAAACATTTAAATGTATTTGTGGTATACTAAGCATGAAATAAATGTATTTCAAATACATTTTAGTATATTTATTTTTCACTAGGATGAAAACATGATTTTTTAGGATTCTTTGATAAATAGAAATATATTAAACTACAGCATTTTTTCAATAGAAATTTCTAAACATTATAAATGTCTTTACTGTCACTTTTGATCAATTTAATGCATCCATGCTAAATGAAAGTATTCATTTTTTCTTAAATAAAAAAATAAAATAAAAAATAAAGTAATAATAATGCAAAAGACCAAACCTTTGAAAGCTAGTGCATGCTAGTGCATCCATTCTCACATCACAAATGACATTAGTGTCCTTCTCTTTGGTTTATGGTCCCCTGTCCTCCACTAACCCCAATGTCTTCATATTGCAGACCAGCTGAAGATCACTAATCTCCGTCTGAACCTCACCAAGCTGCACACTCTGGGTGATAACCTGCTGGACTCACGGACCGAGATCAAAGAGAAATACTACTATGCCATATATGAGCTGGTTGTCAGGGGCAACTGCTTCTGCTATGGCCACGCCTCCGAATGTGCTCCTATTGACGGCATCAGGGATGACATTGAGGGCATGGTGAGTTACTGAACTGTAGCAATTTAGCAATGGGTATGCATTATATATTGCTACAAAATCAGATATCAGACAATACTGGAGTTTTTTTTTTTAGATCTAATAGTTTTGTTGAATATTAGATATTCATTTGAACATGCTAATTTTCCCTATTTTTACATTTAGATTACCTTTGCTGTCATTTAGCAACCACTTAAAGTTCATTTTTTAAAACACTAATAATTTAACACTGTTATCTTTAGCAAATCTCCAAATAAATATACATTTTTCATAGTGTACATTAAAATGTAGTAATGCTTAAATTCACCACTAGCAGTGCTTTATTTATATATTTATATCTAGTCTATTTAGACAAAACAGTTTGTAATTTTAATATGGACCATCTCTAGGTACATGGGAGGTGTGTGTGCAAACACAACACCAAAGGACTGAACTGTGAACAGTGTGATGACTTCTATAATGACCTGCCCTGGGGACCAGCTGAGGGCCGTAACACTAATGCCTGCAAAAGTAATTATGAATGACCATAATCGTATAGCTCATAAAGTGCATAGACATACACCTCTTATGTCACGGTTAACACTTTCCTCTTTTTCCCAGAATGCAACTGTAACGGACACTCCAAAGAGTGTCATTTTGACATGGCAGTGTATCTGGCTACGGGGAACGTCAGTGGAGGTGTGTGTGACAACTGTCTCCACAACACCATGGGCCGCAACTGTGAGACCTGTAAACCTTTTTATTATCAGGATCCAACTCGAGACATCAGAGACCCTGGAGTCTGCGTGGGTAAGAAGCTAGATACTAAACATATACATTTAAGCATTATACTGTATATGACTGCTTATATCTGTTCTCTCTGCTAGCCTGCGACTGTGACCCAGATGGTTCTCTGAACGGTGGCATTTGTGATGGGCATGATGACCCCTCTCTGGGCATGATCGCTGGGCAGTGCCGCTGTAAAGACAACGTTGAAGGAGCACGCTGTGATAAATGCAAGCCTGGTTTCTTTGGGCTCAGTGCTAGTGATCCTCGTGGCTGCCAACGTAAGTGCAAGCTGATACCAATTATTTACATGTTATCACTGATAACTAGGGTTGTGACGGTAATGGAATTTTCCCACCGGTTAATCGACGTGTGACAACACCGATAATATCGGTATTAGGGGGCAGGGGCGTTTCCTCTTTTCCTCTTTTCCTAGCTTTCCTTCGCTTTTAAATAGCTTGCAAAAGCGTCGTGCGCATTTTACTTTCACTTTCAAATAGCGGCAATTCGGCGTAAAGCAATTGTTTGTTTTTAGTTTGTTTGAATTTTCCCTCTTTTCCTCGCTTTCCTTCGCTTTTAAATAGCTTGCAAAAGCGTCGTGCGCATTTTACTTTCACTTTCAAATAGCGGCAATTCGGCGTAAAGCAATTGTTTGTTTTTAGTTTGTTTGAATTTTCCCTCTTTTCCTCGCTTTCCTTCGCTTTTAAATAGCTTGCAAAAGCGTCGTGCGCATTTTACTTTCACTTTCAAATAGCGGCAATTCGGCGTAAAGCAATTGTTTGTTTTTAGTTTGTTTGAATTTTCCCTCTTTTCCTCGCTTTCCTTCGCTTTTAAATAGCTTAAAAGCACCATGCGCATTTTACGAATTAGCGGCAATTCATTGTCTTGAATGCAACAACAAAATACAATGTCAAACTCACTTTAGCCTATATATAAAACATAGAACTTTTATTAACAAAACGAATAAAAATACACCATGCTATAGGGCAGGATATGCCTAATATAAAATAACAAATAACTTACATAACGTTTAAATAGGTAGCCTATACAAAACTGGAAATAAGTAAACATGTATAATATATAACCAAATAAATAAGAAACATAGAAAGTTTATTAGCAAAACGAATAAGAAAGCTTGGAGGCACGGGATACACCTTGATGTCAAATAAAATAAATAAATTACACAAAGTTTAAATAAAGTAAAAATCAGCAAACACTGTGGAACCAATTAAATAAGAAACGAATGTTTAAAAAAACTTCCAAAATCACCTTAGATAAACAGCAAATGTCAACAGCTAAATCATCCGCGATCGTCTTGTCTGTCTCACCTCACTCTTCTTGTCAGTCAGCTCGACTCACTTTCCTCACTGGAGAAATGAAATCTGATCTGTGATGTGACTGTCGTTCGACACGCTGCATTGAGCAGCCGCATTCAGTTTTTAATTGTAGTGTCTGTTCTTTTACTGAACTAAATTATTTTTATTACTATAAAAAAAATCTAAACGACGGTGGGGGTCGGTGCCGCGGTGGGCAAGTGACGTAACCGGTGTTGCGGCTTAACAACGGTATCGCTGTCAGCACCGTCTATTGCGGCAAGCCTTCTGGATAACCCATAATTAGGCCAAATTTTTTCTTAAATTTTTTACTTTACTTTTTTTTTTTAATTTATGGGTTATCAGTAGGCTTGTCGTGATAGACGGTGCTGACGGTGATACCGTTTTGTCTAAATATATTGAAAATAAAGCACAAAAAATCAGTCACCTAAATGATAAGTTAATTTTGGTGTCATAACATTATAATGTACAGTATGAAGAATGGGATATTCATTTTGATATTTGCTGAAAGTTACATGACGTAGTATCATTACATTTTTAGTGTTTTTAAAGATTAACTTTAGGTGAGCGTTAAATGACTGCTGAAGGTATCTGAACAAATGAGGGTAATTAAATATAAACATAGAGGAAATTTATAATGAACAATAAAAGATACAACAGCATAGATATAACTAACCATTCAAAAGTTTGGTGTCTGTAAGATTTCTTTAATGTTTTAGAAGTTTTTTTATGCTCATCAAGATCAAAAATAAATTTTTCTCCAGGATGCTTTGATGAACTGAAACTTAAAAAGATCAGAATATATTAGAAATAGAAATATTTTATCTTCAAATGTCTTTACTGTCACTTTTGATCAATTTAATGCATCCTTACTGAATAAAAGTATTATATTCTTTAAAAAATCTTACTGGCCCCAGATTTTTGAACAGACACTTTGACAATTCAGAGCACAGTTTTTTTTAGTCCAAGTTAGCAAGGAGTTAAATAGCTCTGCACTTTTAGACCTCAGTCTTTTTAAAGAACATTTTTCTGGTATGTTTTATTCTTGATACTCGATCATTCTCTTTCTTTCTTTCACTGATCTACTTTAGCATGTAAATGTGACCCCAGGGGTACAGTGTCCGGTAGTTCTCAATGTGACCCTGTTAACGGAGACTGCTTCTGCAAACGCCTTGTCACTGGACACAGATGCAACCAATGTCTGGTAAGTAAAGCAAAAAAAGTTTGCCTTTTTTGTAGCTTATTATTCCCCATACTCCTCTGTGAGAACATTTAATTACCAGTCACTAGTTGGCATTGCATGCTTTCTGGTACCTTGTATCCCCTCTACTGTGGTAACATGAACTAAGAGTGATTGATCTACAGTAGAGCTGTATGTCTGCATTTAGCCCAAGGGTTTATGGAGGATGGTGTAGATTTTCACACAACTTAAAATGGAATGAAAGGAAGAGCTGCATCCTGAAATTAGACAAGCAATAAATACCTCTAGTAGTAGAGTGATGTCACTTCACTTTATGGATATGTACCATGGTAATTCTTTACTATTTTTGTCATGGTATTTGCTTATGGTTATTGATTAGCACTGCATGGTTTCAAAGTATCATGGAATTACCAGGGTTTTGACTCAGTATTTTGTAGTTAATAATCTGAATATTAAATGTCATATTGTGGCTTATGTGTCATTTTTATTAGTATGTATACCACTGGTTTGTGTTTTATGTGCATTTTCTACAGCCTGAGCACTGGGCCTTGAGTCATGACGCCAATGGCTGCAGAGGATGTGACTGTGATGTGGGTGGAGCTACAGACAACCAGTCAGTATTTTTTGGTTTATGGGGATTCAGGCTGTTGGCAGTTTTTGTATTAATAATATGAAACTTAATTGTAATAAAAATAATGTGCTTTGCGTCTGAAGATGCTCAATGGAAACAGGCCAGTGTCACTGTCGGAGTCACATGATTGGTCGCCAGTGTAACCAAGTGGAGTCTAGTTATTTCTTCATGGCCCTCGACCACTACATATACGAGGCTGAAAATGCCAAACTGGCTCAAGTAAGTGCAGAAATGGGACAAACAGGAAGATATTTGCTTTGTTTTTAGCCCCATGTATTCTGTCTGATAACTATGGACGCCTGTTTCTGCCACTGAAAATAAATAAAGATAATTGCGAGTTTTTATCACACAATTCAGACTTTTTTTCTCAAAATTGCGTAATACAAACTTACAATTCTAACTTTTTTTATCTCGCAGAATTGCAACTTTATTTCTCAGAATTATGAGTTTAAATCTTGCAATTTTGAGTTTATATCATGCAATACTGACTTTATAACTCACAAAAGCGAGTTTATATCACGCAATTCTGAGAAAAAAAAGTCAGAACTGCGAGTTTATATCTTACAGTTCTGAGAAAAATATGTGAGAATAAAAGATAAAAAGTCGCAATTACCTTTTTTATTTTTTATTCAGTGGCAGAAGTGGGCTTCCATAGATAACCATTTAACCAGTTAACTTTCTTCATCAAGCAACAGAACAAATATTTCAAAGATGTTTCAGAATATCAAAGGTGCATGCCAAGTGTCAAAAGGAAAGAAACACAGATGTCGTTCAAAGATATTATGATCAAATATTTATTGGGACCGATACCATAATTATTTAATATTATTAAATAATAAAATAAAAAGAAATATAAAAATACTATAAAAATGTTAAATAAATAATAATTCTCCACTATTTTGTCTAAATAAATTAAACGTAAAACACTAAAAACTAAAAGTGCAAGTGAATTTATACAACATTGTGTGTACAACATTTGGTCAAAATTGTATATTCATTTTGAGATTTGATTAAAGATTATATTTGTGTATATTTTATAGGGCTCTGCATTTGAGGAGAGAGAGTACCAGCCGGGCCGTCACGTCTCGTGGACAGGCACTGGGTTTGCACGGGCTCCTGAAGGTGGTACGTTGGAGTTTGCCATTAACAATATTCCATATTCTATGGAATATGACATCCTCCTTCGCTATGAGCTTCAGGTAGATTACATGTCTTCTCAATGGCTTCATAGGCTACTCAGAGTAGTGTGTTATGGGTGTACTCATGTGCGTTTATGTGCTTTTAAAGATGCCACGAGACTGGGAGGAGGTCCGTGTAATGGTGATTAGACCTGGCCCCATACCTACCAGCAGTCCATGTGGAAATACCATCCCTGCAGATGATCTGCTAACTGTATCGCTCCCATCTGGTGCCAGGTCTGTGAAACACATGTACAAATGTTTTAAGGGTCAGTCCATACATCTATCTGTCTATCTGTCTGTCTGTGTCTGTCTATCTGTCTGTCTGTCTATCTATTTATTTTTACTTTATTTTATTTTTAATTTTTTGTTCCAAACAAGAAACAAGAAATAAAGTCATACAAGTTTGTAACGTCATGAGGGTGAGAAATTGTCCAATTAATCCAATTAATGTTTATTTTTTTGCTTTTGTATCCCAAAATCTTCTCAGTTTGGCTTATAACACAGATTTAATGTACTTCTTCGTTTGTTTGATTTTTTTCTTTTGTTTTAATTGTTGCTGTTTGGTTTATTTATTGTTTGGTTTCAATGTTTTTGTTTTATTTGTTTCTTTGTTTTTGTTTGTTTTACTGTCTCTTGTTTTTATTGTTGCTTTTTGTTTGTTGTTTTTTGTTTTTGTTGCAGTTTGTTGCTTTTTTGTTTCTTTAATCATTCATTTATTTATTTATTGCTTTCTGTCTTCCTGTCTTCTGATGCACTGCTACAGGTTTGTGGTTCTTCCTCAGCCGATGTGTTTGGAGAAAGGAGTGAGTTACAAACTGCGTGTGGAGTTCATCCCTTATGCTGACAGGAACAGCATTACCTCAACTAATGCCTTTGTACTTGTTGACTCTGTAAGCATCCATCTGTGATTTTATTCAGCTCTTATGAAGTCTTCATGTTCTGTCTAGTTTTGACTTGTTCTTTCATCTCTTCACCTCCCCAGATTGCCCTTCTCCCTCGTTACTCTTCTCTAGAGATGTTTACCGCGGGAGACCCTGCCTCCGTCGCACGAAAGCAGAGCTACGAGCGTTACCGCTGCCACGAGACTGCCAAGAGTGTGTCCCGTCCACAGATGAGTGAAGTGTGTGCTAAACTCATCACCAGCATGTCTGCCCTCATTAACGACGGCGCAATGCGTGAGTGTCAGCAGAGAATGTAGGGTCTGTGTTGGGAATATTGGGGTTTGTGTTCACTTGTTCATGTTGTTATTAAGACAAGAACATTGATCCCACAGCTTGTGAATGCGATCCTCAGGGTTCGCTCAGCTCTGAGTGTGATGTCCGTGGGGGTCAATGCCGCTGCAGGCCCAACATATCAGGCCGGTGCTGTGATAAATGTGCACCAGGAGCTTACGGCTTTGGCCCTTCCGGATGCAAACGTAAGACAAATCAATGTACCTGCTGTGGTAAATTGGTAACATTTTGATAAAATTCCTCTTTGTGTGTTCTTCTTTGTATTTTTTCCCCCTTTTCGTTTCTTTTCATTAGTTTTTTGTTCTGTTATATTTATTTGTTTTTATAATATACTTCCTTTTTCTTTTCCGTTTGTGTTTGTTTTGCTTTCTTTTACTGTGTTTTTTTCCTGGTTTCTTTCTTTCTTTTTTGTTTGTTTTTCTTTTGTTTATGCTGCTTGTTTTAAAAAAAAATTTTTTTTTTATTTTTATATTTTGTTTTATTTGTTTTATTTTATTTTTTGTTTTTCATTTGTTTGTTTCTTTTGTTGTTTGTTTGATTTCTTTTGTTTTTACTGTTGCTGTTGCTTTATTGTTTGTTTTTTATTTGTTTATTTCTTTTTGTTTGTTTGTTGTTTTCTTTTTGTTAATAATTTTTTCTTTTCTATTTTTTTCTATTTTGTTTTGTTTAATTTAATTTGTTTTTGCTTGTTTGTTTCTTTTTTGTTTTTACTGTTGATGTTGCTTTATTGTTTGTTTTTTGTTTGTTTCTATTTGTTTGTTGATTTGTTTTATTTGTTTCCTAGTTTTTATTTGTTTTTCTTTTTCCTTTTTTATTCTTTGCGTGTTTTTTGTTGTATTTCTGTTTGTTTTTTTGTTTCTTGCTTTTCTATCCTTCATTTCTGTCTGTCTGTCTGTCTGTCATTAATTGCTTTCTGTCTTTGTCCTTAGTTTGTGAATGTAGTTTGGAGGGCTCGCAGAGCCGATTCTGTGACCAGTACTCAGGACAGTGTCCATGTCGGGCCGGTGCATTTGGTCAGCGCTGTGATGGTTGTCAGGCTGGACACTGGGGCTTCCCAAACTGCAGGCCATGTGAATGTAATGGACATGCTGATGAGTGCCACCAAAGGACTGGAGCCTGTATCAACTGCAGAAGCAATACAGCCGGGGATAAATGTGACAGGTACAAGGGGCAAAAAGACAGACATTCTTGACATTTTAAGCTGTATAGTTAAACTGATAATTATTATCATTAGAGGACACTTAAAGATATTTGAGAATCTTTTAAAGTTTACCGGCAAACTTTTTCTTGAATGGTCCTCTGCCTGAGCTAATGTAATAAATACCTCTTGTCACAGGTGTGCTAATGGTTACTATGGAAACCCGGCTCTTGGTTTAGGGAGTCTGTGTCGGTCCTGCCCCTGTCCTGAGGGCCCCAACAGCGGACGCCACTATGCCGCCTCTTGTTACCAAGACAACCGCAACCAACAGGTGGTCTGCAACTGCAACCAGGGTTACACAGGTATTTTTAACCACAGAATTTTCTTTCCTTCCACAGATGGATGGAATCAAATTAAGTTAAGATGAGGTCTGGGTCATGTGCAGTTGCAGTTTTTGCATACATGCAACGGGAGAATGTAGACATCCCAAATTAATAAGTGCTTGAATTGGGCTTTATAGTGCTATTTAACACCCTGAGTCCATCTGCATCTGTATAGGATGCAGAAAATGCCATAATCAGAGATAAAGGCCACTGTCACTCTGATAAGCCAATACAGTGATCATGTGTGTTATCTCCTGTCCCCTCCTCAACTGGACACAGGGATTGTAAAGCGCTCTGCAGGGGCAGTCCTCAAGCGTGAGTAACCATGGAGACCCACCACACCTCCATCACCCGTCCCGTCCCGTCCCTCCCTAGCGCATGGCACTTTACTCCTTGCATGTACATTTGCAGAACCCTGTGAAACTGCATCAAGTGCAGTCATATGTGACTGAGTAGTGTTGGAGAGTAACTAACTAAATGTAGCTAGTAGTTGTTTTTTAAAACTAAGGTTTTCTAGTGCTTAGCTTTCCAGCTGAGCGAAATTAAATAATAATAATTAAACGCTAACGTAAAATGTGTTCTCTCTCTCATATTAAGCATTGGATAGTCCAGTTTATTTAAATGCAGAGTCTTAAAGGGATAGTTCACCCAAAAATAAAAAAGTCCAAACCCATAAGACCTTCGTACATCTTCAGAACACAAATTAAGATATTTTTGATGAAATCTGAGAGAGTTCTGACCCTGCATAGACAGCAACACAACTGATATGTTCAAAGCCCAGAAGGGTAGTAAGGACATGGGTGTAAAATACAAAAATAAAAAATGTGCACTTTTTCCGGGCAAGTGTGTTTATGTAGATGTAGCAACGGCCAGTGTGAATAAATCTAGACTTAAACCCAAAGAAACAAGAAGTCTATGTATTACTCGACTATTTATTCATATCAAAAACGAGACAATCTGAACATTACGGAGCGTAACACTCATGCAGTGTATGTTTCAATCATACTCGAAGCCGGAGGACGCTCTTGCTCAGAAAGTCAAAAACTGCCTCGTAGAAGAAATAGCTTATGACATGCAAGAAATCCCTAATATGGGCCCCTAAACCCTTTCTGGGCTGTGAACATGATAGTTGCGTTGCTGTCTATGCAGGGTCAGAAAGCTCTTGGATTTCATCAAAAATATCTTAATTTGTGTTCCGATATGAACAAAGGTCTTATGGGTTTGGAACGATATGAGGGTGAGTAATTAAAGGTGCAGTAGATCTTGGAAAATGCTAACTTTAGCCTGATAGCACTGAAAGCGGATGTCCCACCCTCCCTGTAATCGCCGTCCAAGCCCCTGAACACATTTACGCTCACAGACCAGAATACCAGAGACAACATTACTACAATAGGCTACATCAGCGGTTCCCAATTCCAGTCCATGTTCCTAAGTGAAGTCAGGAAGGAGGGAGCATTGAACACTGTGTAGGGATCATATGGATCGGAACACCGTTCATGCACGTGTAAGGTAAACAGGTCAATAATAATTTAGCTCAAAGGGAATCATTTAAGATTTTAAAGGGAACTCCACCATTAATATGCAAGGCTCTCTTCTAACGAGCTGGTTATCTGAATCGCGAGGACTGGAAGTGGGAACCGCTGGACTACATCATGTGCCATTCACCGGTGAGAAAACTTTAAAAGTACTACAATACCAGGAAGGAAGATCAGGTTGTTGATGTTTGTCTGCCATTCCCGCTCTATCTGCACAGCGTGCGTGAACGCGCTGATGATGTATTCTGTCTGCGCGTACCAGGTGCGCTGAGGCATGCAGATACATACTGTACATTGACAGGCAGGTAGGTAAGTCAATTAAAACGCTCGGAACGAGCGTTTTGATTGGATGAGCATTTCTTGGTCCTACGCCTTCCACAGAATATATAAATACAGATAAATACATTTAGACCACTTAACTTAATGATTGCTATGGGGATGTGAAGAGACTTTCAACCAGCATAACAAAAAAAAATTCTGAAGACAATCACCTATTGCACCTTTAATGGCAGAATTTTCATTTTTGAGTGAACTATCCCTTTAAGCAATAACATACTATATTATACTATTTATTACAATCATTTTACAAAATAATATTTATTATTCTTTATTAGTTCTAGTTTTCAAATTTTTCAAATTTTATGGTATTTAATGTAATTTGATGTTTTTACATTGATATTCAAATGCTATTTAGTTCTCTCTCTCTAATAGAGATCCTCTTTGTTTTTGAGCTAAATACCTATCTGATTTAAATTCTATTCTAATCTATCACTAGAAGTGAGTGCTTCTCTGTTCCTTTGCCAGCATTTGAGCCAGAGAAGCAGGTGCCTGTCTCTATATAGCACTTGGCTGCAAAGAGATATGAATCATGAAGAGAGTGAATCAGAGAGATGTGAAAAAAGTGAATCAGAGCTTCCTGTTTAGACGAAATTAAAATTACAGCTAAAGTAAGATAACCGAGCTTCAAAATTGTGTCAGATCTATTAAAGGGGTCGTATGATGTTGCTAAAAAGAGCATTTGGTGTAATGAAATGTGTTTATGCGGTTTAAGGTTAAAAAAACACATTCTTTTCCACATATTGTACATTATTGTTTCTCCTCTATGCCCCGCCTTTCTGAAATGCGCCGATTTTTACAAAGCTCATCGGTCTGAAAAGCAAGGTGTGCTGTGATTGGCCAGCTATCCAGTGCGTTGTGATTGGCCGAATACCTCAAGCGTGTTACGGAAATGTTACGCCCCTTACTATATTGTGATGATGCCCTGACAGACCGGAGCGATGATTCAAACACATGAAAACCCATTATAAATGAGGCATTCGTTGCATCCAGTGGGGACATAATTATGGATTATAATGTCTTATACTGTCTTTTTACGCGTTGCGTTGCATCGCGCGGCGTAAACATAAAACCATGTCTGCATTTGTGATCGGAGAAATTACAAACAACAAGCCCTACTCTACACTGCCCAAAAAACTCACTTTAAATATAAAAAATATAAAAGCTCTTACAATCTGTGAGTCAGAACAGCCAGCATTGTATTCTACTCTACCAGGATCAGTAAACAGTCCTCCATAAAATGTGCTGCACACATCTGAATATTTGGGTTGAGGCAACAACAATACTACAGCGAGAATAAAAGTTGCACCTTCTTTCTTTGCGTGAACATTTGGGCGGCGTTATGCAAATCTTCCCACATCGTGCCGTTTTAGGTAGGCGTGGCTGACTCTTTACTTTTACAAAGAATATCTCTTTAGTCTTTGCAACTTTACAGATCTTCTTTATGCACCAAGAGCTTGTAACACTCCAAAGAGAAAGGAAGAATTGAAATCGCATCATATGACCCCTTTAACGTAAAACAGTAATTTTCACTCTGATGCTTTGTACCTCATCACTCTTTAGGAGATTATACTAGTACTCAGACTGTTGAGTGTATTATGATTTGGCATTAAGACTAAAATGTGACATTTTCATAATAATTTTTCATAATTTGTGAATTATGTTATTTTTATTGTTAGACTGTATTCTTAGCTTTACATGAAGAGTTTGTATGTGTGCACTTGCATCCTTTAAATAATAATTCCATTAATAAATACATTTATTAATTTAATGTCATAACTGTATATTTTTCTACTATTTAAAGAACAATGTCCCATATTGCAGTTACTTTAACACCAAGCCACCAGTAATGATTTTGATCCAATTTGGTTTAACACCTTTTCTATTACATATGTGAACCTAATATTGCTTATATTAATTATGTAGTTAAAGTTTTACTCAGTAACCCTATTAAATAAATTGTGCAGGTTATGGAAAAATAATCATGAAACTGGAAGTGCTTTATTTCAAAAAGACTGTGGATTTTCCAGCTGTAACCGTTTTAATGCTATATATTCTCTTGAAGAAAATATTATTAAATGCAGTTCAGCATTAAAAATGTCCATCAAATGTATTAAAGTCATTTTTCTTTTCATTTTTGATTTCACATATGCTTTATAAAGTCATTTGCTCTGTTTAGTTGTGACATGGGAGTAAAACATTTTTTTTAACGATATGTCGTCAAATACTATCTTTATGCAACTAAACGCCTACTTTCTCCCTCAACCAGGTCCACGATGTGACGAATGTGCTCCGGGTTATTACGGCGACCCCTCTAAGCCCGGTGGACGGTGCCAACCTTGTCGTTGCAGTAACAACATCGACCTATCAGATCCTGAGGCATGTGACAAGCATACTGGCCAGTGTCTCAAGTGCCTGTACAACACTGAAGGACCGGACTGTGGCGTGTGCAAGAGCGGATACTATGGAGATGCTTCCCGCCGCAACTGCCGGAGTGAGTGTACCTGGGTCTTACATTACTTTTCTACATTATAGTGCACTATTAATATAATAAACATATCAACACTTTCACCCACCCAGAGTGCACATGCAACTTCTTGGGCACGGAGCGCAGTCAGTGTCTATCTCGAGATGACTGCGTGTGCCAGCGTGCCACAGGACAGTGTCAGTGTCTGCCTCACGTTATTGGACAAACCTGTGATCACTGTGCTCCCAATTACTGGAACCTGGCGAGTGGACGAGGCTGTGAGCCCTGTGGCTGTGACCCCAACAATGCCTACACATCTGCCTGTAATGAGGTACTGTTGGCTCACAAATACAGCTTACATTCAATATATACATATAAACTACCATTCAAAAGTTTGAGGTCAATACGATTTTTTTAAAGAAATTAAAAATTCAGTACGGTTTAAACTGATTAAAAGTGACATTAGTGAAAACATTTATAATGTTATAAAAGGCTTTTATTTTAAATAAATGCTGTTCTTTTGAACTTTCTCTTCATCAAAGAAAATGTCCTAAAAAAATGCTTCTACAAAAATACTAAGCAGCACAACTGTCTTTAACATAAATAATAATAAATGATTTCTGAAATCGTGTGACACTGAAGACCGAAGTAATGGTGCTGAAAATTCAGCTTTCCCATCACAGAAATGAATTACATTTTAAAATATATTAAAATAGAAAACAATTATTTTAAATTGTAATAATATTTCACAATATTACTGTTTTTACTGTATTTTAGATCAAATAAATGTGTCCTTGTTGAGCATAAGAGACGTCTTCCAAAAATATAAACAAAACTTGCAGACTACAAACTTTTAAACGGTAGTGTTTATTTATTTATTTATTTATAATACAGCATTTTAGATTTTACACAAAGACAGATAGGTGATACAGTAAGTAGACTTAGGGAATAGGAACTGAAATCTAAAAAAAAGCTTGACTTATCTAATATTAAATTTCTGGCCAATATAGAGCAATTATAATTTTTATGTTATGGCTGATAAATGATAAATGGATTCTTTTAAAATTCTATGCTGTTTTGTTTAAATAAATGAAATGCTACAAGTGAATTTAGACAACATTATAATGTGTCATTTTGAACTTCACTAAAGATTACATTTAACGGTGTTATTAAATTTTAAGTGAGTATGAGATGATGGAAAAAATTATCTGAATGTAACAATAGAAGAAATTAGTATGAACAATTAAATATCCATTATTGACCGATATCAACATTTAAAAAAAAATCTCTGATAGCCAATATGGTATTCATAAATCTTGCCTCCCTAGTTTCAACACCCCATCAGTAGTCTTAAATATTGCTATCCTCTTTTTGAACCCAAATTCATATAGTTCACAGGTCAGTGCCAGTGCCGTGTTGGGTTTGGAGGGAAGACCTGTAAAGACTGCCAGGAGAACCACTGGGGTGACCCAAGAGTACTGTGTCGAGGTACCATGATACTTTCAGAGCAGTCCATATCATCTGTAATGTTAATGTAACACTGTTCATCATTTTTTTGATTCACAATTAATCATAATTCCCAAAATCCAATTATTTTGGTTACTTCTCTCCCCACAGCATGTGACTGCGACCCCCGGGGCATCGAGTCATCTCAGTGCAATCGTCTGACTGGTCACTGCGTGTGCCAGCAGGGAGTTTCTGGCGTCCGCTGTGATCAGTGTGCCCGTGGTTTCTCTGGCACCTTCCCTGATTGCAAACCTTGCCACCAGTGCTTTGGGGACTGGGACCGCATCATTCAGGATCTGGCAACCAGAACCAAAGCTCTCACAGATCGAGCCAAGGAGCTTCAGACCACCGGCTTGACTCGAGCCTTTGAGAGAAGATTTAAGGAGTTGGAGGACATGCTGGCACAGGCGCGGGACATTGTTAACGCCCGCAATGCCACTGCTGAGGCTGTGACCACTCTGATGGGCATGATCGAGGATCTCAGGTACAGTTTGGTTAGAAGGAGGTTCAGACCCTACATTTTTGTATATTGCTTGAAAGTCTCTAGTTGAGAGTGTTAGAGGTTAGGGAGAACATTACTTGAGTAATTTTACTTAATTACTATAATCTATTATTATTACTGGGAATTTATGTTGAGAATTGAGAATTGATATTTAGAATTATATGTGGGCACTATTGAAATAAATAGAAAATTTGCAACAACAAAAAAAAATAAAAAATGTCATACTTTTATTACCAAGATAGTCTAAATAAACCTTTAATACAGCTTTTGTAACAAAATTACAATAATTACTATAATTAGATTACATTATATTAAAATTTAATTGCAAATTAGATTATTTAATTAATTCGAAAATGTCATTTTCAATAGCTAAGAATTTTTTAAAATTTTAAACATTTAAGTAATTAATTTTTGCACCTTTTTTGTTAAATACTTATAAATGAGAATAACTTTTATAGAATTGACCTACTTACCTACCTACTTACCTAAACGTTCACATAAAAATAATTTAAGTATAATTTCAGACATTTTTGTTCACTGTTTACACCCTTGTTGGAGATGAGTTTGGTCAGCTGTCTTTCTGTCTGTTAGAGCTCAGATTGGTGAGACCACGGACACACTGAACCAGCTGGAGGGAGACCTGACCGCTGTGCAGGACAGCAACTATGAAGCCAGCAATGCATTAAGTACCCTGGAGAGAGAAGCAAAAGAACTCAAACTGAACTCAGATCAGCTTAACCGTCAGCTTGACCTCCTCAAGAACTCCAACTTCTTGGGTTAGTCACTGATTCTGTATTACTGTAACTAAAATGCACTTACACTGCCCCCATTATAAGCAAAATATCAAAACAAGTGGGATTTATTTATTATTATCTCCCAGAGAACAATCCATTGGCTGATCAAACTAGGAAAACGTGCTATTTAACGTGGTATTTTTCCTCAGGTGCATATGACAGCATCCGGGCCTCGTACAACAAGTCACGTGATGCAGAGCACCGCGCCAACAGATCTACCACTGACATTCCCAGCACAGTGAGCCAATCGGCAGACACCCGCAAGAAAACAGAGAGACTGATTACCCAAAAGAGAGATGATTTTAACCGCAAAAATGCTGCCAACAAACGTACACTCACAGACTTAAATGCTAAAGCTCAGAATTTGGACATAAAGAAAATCAATGAAAAGGTAAGCTGGATAATGTCTCAACAAATATAAAAATATAACAGTTACAAGAATTTGTAACCAATTTAAAAGTATTATTTAAGGTATATATTTAAAATATAAAATCATTGTTTTTTATAATATAAAATATTAGAAATTGTTTAATATGTATTATTTTATATTGTTTAATATAATATAATATATTATTTAACTTTAAAGCTCTTGTTTTATTGTTTTTGTAGGTATGTGGAGCACCGGGGGGTGCTCCATGTGTGGACAGTCCTTGTGGCGGTGCTGGTTGTCGTGATGATGAAGGCAAGCGCCACTGTGGTGGTCTGAATTGCAATGGAGCTGTTGCAGTGGCCAACAATGCCCTGGACAGATCCAAGCATGCAGAAAAAGAGCTGGATAAAGCTATGGGAGTAGTGGAGGAGCTTTTTAAGCAGGTAGAGACACACTTTAATTATTGTGACCAATGACTAGCATGATCAGAGCTGTCAATTCCTTTTATGACTTCACATTCTCCAGAAAGTGTTCAGTCTTTTCTCTGAATCTTATGTTGTCTTGACGGTCTTATTAAGGTGGCAGATGCTAAGACCAAGGCTCAGGAAGCTAAGGATAAAGCCCAGGCAGCTTTGGAAAAAGCTAGTGATACCAAAAATAAGGTGGATCATTCTAACAACGACCTGAGGGACCTCATCAAACAAATTCGTGAATTCCTCATGGGTGAGTTTAAATTATATTATATCTATAATAAAAAAAAAATTATTATCCTTTTTTTTCTATATTATATTATATTATATTATATTATATTATATTATATATTAAAGGGGTCATATGATGCGATTTCAAGTTTTCCTTTCTCTTTGGAGTGTTACAAGCTGTTCGTGCATTGAGAAGATCCCTAAAGTTGCAAAGACTAAAGTCTCAAACCCAAAGAGATATTTTTTATAAAAGTTAAGACTCGTCCACGCACTCCTAAAACGCCTCGTTTAAACACGCCCCCTCATGTCTACGTCACTGTGTGGGAAGATTTGCATACCACCGCCGTTTTTCACGCAATTAAAGAAGGCGTAACTTTGATTCTCGCTGTAGTATTGTTGCTGCCGCCGCCGCCATGTCGTGGAGACGCTGTGCGCTTCGTTGTAAAGGCGAAACTACTTTGTTTGGCCTTCCAAAAGAGGACACAACTAGAAATCAGTGGTTAAGTTGTATTTACAACACTGTTCCAGAACCAAATATTCGTGTGTGTGTGTGCAACGCATTTAACGGAGGATTGTTTCCTGAACCTACTATGCCGGCTGTTCAGACTCACAAACTGTAAGTATGTTTTCATATTTAAAGAATTTGCCACTGATGATTCAAACGCGAGTTTTGAGCAGTGTATAATAGCACTTGGTGTTTGCCGTTTCACCGATCACAAATGCAGACATGGTTTTATGTTTACGCAGCGCAACGCGTAAAAAGACAGTATAAGTCATTATAATCCGTGATTATGTCTCCACTGGATGCAAGAAATGCATAGTTTATAATGGGTTTTAATGTTTTTGAATAGTCGCTCCAGCCAGACAGGGCATCACAATATAGTAAGGGACATAACATTTCTGTCACACGCCTGAGGTATTCGGCCAATCACAACGCACTGGATAGCTGGCCAATCAGAGCACACCTCGCTTTTCAGACCGATATGCTTTGTAAAAATCGACGCGTTTCAGAAAGGCGGGGCATAGATGTACTATGATGTACAGTATGTGGAAAATAATGTGTTTTTTGAACCTTAAACCGCATAAACATTTCATTACACCAAATACACAAAATAGTGTTCTTTTTAACAACATCATATGACCCCTTTAAGGGAAAAAAAAATATATATATATATATAATAAGAGAATAAAAATGAACTACATGAAGAAAATAAATATAAAATAAAAATTAAATTAAATAAAGTACATAAACCTGACAGATTATTCTCTGCATCTTATTCTAGTTTACACTTAATAGTATACCTTTTATATTATATTATATTATTAACTCAATCCGAGCAGCTGAGTCCTTAGCCATCTTCAAGAATCGGCTAAAAACACATATCTTCCATCTTTATTTGACCCTCTAACTCTAGCACTCTCTATTCTAATTCTATTCTTTAAAAAAACACTTGTCCCTTTAAGACTTGCACTCTATTCATTTGCTGCTTGTTTTCTTTAAAAAAAAACTAACACTTGCTTCTCTAATCTTTTTGTATTCTATCTGTTTTCTTTTCATTTATTATACAATTAACAAAAGCAAAAAAGACCTCTAACACTTGCTTGCTCTATTCTTTTTCTATTCTATCTGTTTTCTTTTTAGTTATTATATTATTTAAAAACCCTTGCTACGTGTGCTGCGTTAAGCTAACTGAGACTTGTTATAGCACTTGTATATCATTGCTCTTTTGTTGATTTTGATTGCTTCCATTGTCCTCATTTGGAAGTCGCTTTGGATAAAAGCGTCTGCTAAATGACTAAATGTAATCATCTTATTTTCAAACCTTTCAATAACATTTCATATGTTATATTCCTTTTCTCATTTTTCATTTCTTCTCACAGAATTTTAACTTGAATTCTTTTGAGCTCATTTACATGTTGTATATTTGCAGAGGAGGGGGCAGATCCTGACAGCATTGAGGCAGTGGCCAATCGGGTGCTGGAGCTGTCAATCCCAGCTTCTCCCAGGCAGATTCAACACCTCGCAGATGAGATTAAAGACCGTGTCAAGAGCCTATCCAATGTGGACGCCATTCTGGAACAGACCCAGAATGACGTCCGCAAAGCAGAACAACTGCTGCTGGATGCCAAGAAAGCCAGGTGACTATCTGCACATCTGGTATTTTGCACATCACTTTGTAAACGTAAATGCAAATCTGTTCTTTCACTCTAGGAATAAGGCGGAGGGAGTGAAGAGCACGGCTGAGAGTGTGAAAAAGGCCCTGAACGATGCCGGCAGGGCTCAGGCAGCTGCAGAAAAGGTCATTCAGAAAGCTAGAAATGACATCGGCTTAACTCAAAACCGTCTAGCACAGGTAAAAAAAACTGTAATTAGGAATAACTTTAATTTTTATGCTCCTAAATTGATTGGTTTTGACCACAAGCACTCTTACAATACTTCTGAAGATCCAGTCAGAGACCACAGCTCGTGAGAGAGATCTTAATAATGCTATGGGCAGACTGGGAGATCTGGGACGCCAAATAGAGGCTTTAAAAACCAAACTTGCCAACAACAGCCTGGATGCAGCCCGGGCAGAGGAGACGGCCACTATGGCCCGGGACAAGGCCAATGAAGCTAAAGAGGTGTGTGGCGGTCATTTGTGTGTCATTGAGTGTTGTGTTGACCAGAATTTAGTGACTTTATTGTCTGTTTTAGATCCTGGAGGGCGAGCTGTCCGATAAGTATCGTACTGTTCAGGGTCTGATGGACAATAAGGCGAAAACAATGCAGGATGCCAAGCAGAAAGCAGAGCGCCTGAGAGATGAAGCCAAGGAGCTGCTAAGGGATGCCCAGGATAAACTGCAGAGGCTGGCAGGTAAGTGTGTGAGAGACAAGCAGAGAACTGGAGGAAGTTCTTACAATTCAGTTTTATATTTTAAATAGTTTTTTGAATTTGGAAGAACCAGAAAAGTTTATTACAAGTATTAGTTACAGTATTTATTACAGAAAAGTATTACATTTTATATTGTCAGCATTGAATTGAAAGATTAACATGAAAATCAGTATTTCTTAGTATTTGGTTTGTCCCTTTTTTTTTGCTTTAATGACATTAAATATATACATAAAACCGTATGGGGATGCACAGCACTGAGCTGGCCTAATATAACAAAGTGAATAAATATTATTTTGTAAACAAATATTAAAAAGAACTATTATTTTATTAATTTATATTATCACTTAAATATATTGTAAATTGTTCTTAAATATAGTTTTTTTATTTGAATATATTTTAAAATATATATGAATACAATAATTTTATGTTGTAAAAGATATAATAATTTAATAATATAGATAGATAGATAGATTCCTTTTATTTAGAATTAAGTGAGATTTACGGCACAGAGCTGGTCTAATCTAACAATAAATTAATTAATTATAACTATATTATAAATATTATCATTTTATGTTATAAAGAACCCATTTGTGTCCCTGGACCACAAAACCAGTCATAAGGGTCAGTTTTTCGAAATGGAGATTTATACATAATCTGAAAGCTGAATAAAGCTTTCCATTGATGTATGGTTTGTTAGGATAGAATAATATTTGACCGAGATACAACTATTTGAAAATCTGGAATCTGAGGGTGCAAAAAATGCATATTTAATAATAATTAAATAATATTCTAATTATATAATTATGTATATATTGAATGTAGGAACATCACAGAGATGTAAAGTACAGAGTTGGAGTAAAATAACAATAAATTAAGAAATAAATATTAAAAATAAATGTTATTTTATTATTATATTATAATTTAAATATATATATATATATATATATATATATATATATATATGTAATTTCCTAATTAATTATATAGTCTTTGAAATACCATTAATGTTAACGTTTTTAGCAATGCTTATTGCTAATCAAAAATTAAGTTTTGATATATTTACAGTATGAAATTTACAAAATATCTTCATGGAACATGATCTTTACTTAATATCCTAATGATTTTTGGCATAAAAGAAAAATCAATAATTCTGACCCATACAATGTATTTTTGGCTATTGCTACAAATATACCCAAACGACTTAAGCCTGGTTTTTTCAAGTAGGTATAAATGCAGACCGGAGATCTCCAAAATGGGGCGTGAACTCCAAAAGTGGGCAGAACCTCCAAAATGGGGCGGGGTCTCCTCACGCAAAGACTTTCACCCTTGGCTCTGGCTCCAGCCAATTGTTATTGACTTACATTTCAAAATAAAACTTTATAAATTAAACATTGTTTCTAGTTCATCTAAAATAAAATATGCTATATAAGTAAATATTCTCCGTGAGAGCAGAGCCCAAAGCTTGTGGCCAGTGGTGTTCAGACCAGAGTTTGAACCTCTGCTTAATGATATAAACTGGAATCACCCACGAGCTCTCCCGCAAGCCATCACAGCGCAGGGGAAATATTTTACTGTATCGTTTTGTTCTAAGCAGCGGGGGTGTCCCGGGCCTCGAAATTCGCAGTGTAGGAGGGGGTAGTGATGCTGGGTGTAACTAAAAAGGTGCCATTGTCCGGTGAGGTCCAGTTGGGGAGTTACGGAACGATCTCATATCGCATAATCTTATTAACTGTTTATCTCCTGAACTGCAACTTTCTTTACCACGCTGTTCAGCGCCAATCCCGCCGTGCAGTCAATTTCGCTGGTTAAAGTTAGGGTCAGGTGTGGGGTAGGTTTAGGGTTTAGCATTTTTTGTAGCATAGTGTAGGAAATCAACACTTTAATTGTCACAACCAATGAAATCTTTAGAATCAGCTGTGGGGCGGAGTTTGCACTGAAGTTGATTGGGGGGAAAAGTGCGCATGCGTGTCATGTGCCTGTCTGTCAATGGGAGGAAGCCACGCCCTATTTTGGAGCTCCCACCCTGTTTTGGAGTTCCCGCTCCCATTTGGAGATCTCCAGGCTGCAGTTATACCCTTCTCGGTTTTTTGGTCCAGGGTCACATTTGTTAAGCATACTTTCAAGTAATTGAAAAACATAAACTGCCCTCTTTTGGAGATAAGCAGTACTGATCTTGGAAGGCATTCATTGTTTTATTTCCTTGTAATTCTGACCTGGCTTTGTTGATGTTTTGCATACATAGAGCTTGAAAAGGACTATGAGGAAAATCAGAAGGTATTGGAAGGAAAAGCCAGGCAGCTGGATGGCCTGGAAGATAAAATGAAGGCAATCCTGAATGCAATCAATAAGCAGATTCAGATCTACAACACCTGTCAATAATCGGTCACAGGAAGGAAAGCACAACAGCTGGACTGCTGCTGTCTCTGAAAGTTCACTACTGTCTGAAAGGATCTGTCATTTGACTCTTTTCCCAGGCTGCTACAGTTTTTGCCAACAAACCTACAAGACAATGCCAAACTGCCACCAGACGCGATTTCTGGAACAAATGTTGTTTTAATGAAGGGCTACTGTTATAACAACTCTACATTAACCTCTTTTCATTCTGGAACTGAATGCAATGCAGATGTTCACATGTGTCTTGTAAGGCAGAGCAGTATTCTACTTTCTTGGTATTAGAAATGTGCTTCTAAAATACTGAATATGATGAAGATACTGAGTTTGCTTGAATGTAAGAGACACTGAATCATGCCACAGAAGTTTTATTGTATAGATTTTCTGCTTGCCCTTTTTCTTTTAAAACTGGTATAGCTTGGTACTTTATTAACACTCGTTTTCTAATGAGATACATTTGTTGTCTTTTGAGAAATTAGTTTCTATAATAGGCTGAATATCTGTCTGAGAAATTACAGTAAAAGACATTGTTAAATGAAGTAAAATGAGTTGTCCATTTAGAGTCATTGTATCATGTACATTGATGTACACCGTGTTTCTTCTCACGATAAATAATACAAATAAATAATATCCCTGTGTGATTTCTGTACATTGTCTGTGTGATTGTTAGCCTGTTACATTTAACCCTAATATATAATAATATATGAGGAACAAACAATTAAAAAGTTAAAAACAAAGGTTGAATGAAGTTTCATTAAGTATGTACTTATGTTGAATGGGATCTGCATCTTCCATTTTCTCACAAATTGTGAGAAAGTGTTTTCCTTCCAGATCACCTCACATGTGTGAACGCCATCAGATACAAAAAGAATGTGTCAAATATTTGACAGCAGGATGGTTTTGAATAGATTTTCAGCTCCATCTATTGATGTGTCACAGCCGTCAGAAAATCGTCCAGTGTTAACAAAACGTTTGCATATCAGACATGTATTAAATGCAAATGCTGTTTTTATCAAATAGAACCAAATCAAACCTACTTAAAATGAGAGAAATTATACGACAAACCCAAACAATAGTTAATAATAGTAGTTGGCATACATTAATGTTTTTGAAAGAAGTATTTTATGCTCACCAAATACATTAAAAACTAATATTGTGAAATATTATTACAATTTAAAATATATTTTCTATTTTCATATATTTAAAATGTAATTGATTTCTGTGATTGCAAAGCTGAATTTTCAGCATCATTATTGTCACATGATCCTTCAAACTCCTTATAATATATGCTGATTTGGTGCTCAAGAAACATTGCTTATTATTACCGATGTTGAAAACAGTTGTGCTTCTTAATATTATATAAGAAAACCGTAATACGTTTTTTCCAGGATTGTTTGATTAATAGAACGTTGCTTTTACTTAAAATACAGTTTTTGTAACAGTATAAATATCCTAGGCCTGTTTAGTCAATGCGTCCTTGCTGAATAATAACAGTTTGAACGGTAGTTACGGGTACAGAGTCATAAGCAGATGCACTAACGCTCAACAGAACCACAGTTTGACTTGAACAGTTCCACAAACGAAACAAGGACCGTCTTTGACGTTTTAATGAATAACATCCAACAGTATGTTTCAAAATGTATAACGTTACTTTAAGATATTGACATATCAAATGCATCACGAAATCTTGCACCAAAAAAACTTTTACTCTGCGCATGGTTGTAAACGCAGAGTGCTGTCCGGAAGTGGACCGTGCGTATGTTTGTGTGTGATCGCCGTCTCTACCCGGTTTGTTTTTGTTCTCTAACAAAGTGACAGTCACAGAGCAGCGGTCGGCTCTCAAGTGGAGGACGGGCACCGTCGTTGCGTCTTTGTTTACAGTAGCTCGGTTTCTGTTTTAACACCACAAAAATGGGTCCTGGTTAGGATTATTTTGGAAATAAAAGAATTCATTTTTAGCAGGCGAGCTGATGCGGCTCAGGGGCGATCGGCGGCCCGCTGCCGTGTGTGAAGCCTGGGGCTGAATTTAAGCTGCAGTCGCCGCGGCTCTGCTGACAGAGGAAAGGACACGCCGCTGCGACTCCTCATTACAGAAGAACAACGAAACAAAGTAAGATTTAATTTAAACAACTGTTGTCTTATCCAGGTGTCGTAATATGTCTTCACCTGTCCTGTAGGTATAGCCTACATAAGTTTGTCAGTACCGCACCACCCGACCTAGCGGTGAAGTGTTTAGCTGGGCAGCCGGCGCGGAGCGAGAGGCCTCGTGCTTCTGTTCCCTTTAACGGGGATTCTGCTCGCTCCGCACACAACACGGCGAACCGGTGTCTCCTACAACCAGACAACAACGTTGAGATATGTCACTAATAGTACGAATGATATTTATTAGTATTAGACCAAAATGAATGTTAAGAGACAGTTGTAAGAGACGTGTTTTGAGTTAAAGAGAACTTGAGTGTGGAATCGAGTCAGATGGCTAAGCTAGCCGGGTTGGCAGCCGCGGCATTAGCGATCATTACGGGTTTATAAGCTGATTGATTTCCCTTGGGTACAGTTTTCTCATTTGACAGCTGAAAAGGAGAAAAAAGGAAATGTGAAGATGATTAAATTCAAAGATATTTTGTCTGTCTCCATATTCGTTTTGGATAATGGCAGCGAAGTGTCTTAATAGTGACAGTAACCGGCGTCGGTTTTGGTGGCTAGCCGGTGTTTTAATAAAAAAGTGAAAGTGTAGAGTAGTGAAACCAGAAGGTTTGGATGGACATTTGATTGTCCGAACACACTATAGATTTTTAAAAAGAGAGGTCTTTTCTGTTTTTGTAATGCCATCATTATATCATGACAGCAACCACTTAACGGGTACATATTAAAATACAGACATACTTTATTATTTTTCAAACACTAACGTACCCCTATCCATATATACAGATATTGATTATAAAAGCCACAATTGGCTGTAATCTGTGTCTAGCAAAATAATAATCATAAAAAATTAAAGAAGAAGAATTGAGGTTTAGCTTTTTTCTAAAAGAAAGATGATTTTGAATAACTCAAGAATGCCTTCCAAGTCAATACAAAACATTCTGTTATAAATATCCGATTACATAAAGTAGGATCCAAAAGTCTGAGACCACAATGAAAAGAGAGGTTTTTCTTTCATTCTACCCGGAAATAAACAGTTTTTCAAAACAAAGAAAATAAATAAAAACACATCTTTATTTCATATTTTATTGTGGTGTTTAAAAGTATTAATGTTAGCATGAAATTAAAATCTCTTTGATAAATGCATGATTCATTCATGTATATGTTGCATTTGTTTGAAAAAAAAAAAAACTCATAATGTAATAAAAATGTCATAACTGGATCATCTCTCTAGTGATGTATACCAGACTTCTATAATCAATGAATCCGTTTAAACCCCACCCCTCTACAATTGACTTAAAGCTTGAATACATTTTTTAGTGCAACGCCCGCATCTCAAAAAATCCAACTAAAAACAGATGGATAGAACATGCATAGTTCAGCCCTTTTTTATGATCTGTCTTTAAGATCTGTCACTAGTTCTGGTGTATCTTAAATCTGCTATTTAAAACACTAGGCATCTTACGCTTGTGTACACACGGCAGTAAAATAGGCTCAAATTATGAAACATGTTTGAAGCTAAAAAGAGTCTGTTTACATCATACCCTACATGATTTTCTGTGGAACTGTGTCAACTCTGACTTCAAACTGACCTAGCGTTGGGGAAAAATCTGTGAAAAGTTGTGTAGTGTATTCCAGACTTTAGGAATTTGTACTGCCACTCAACCAGAGTCTGTTTGTAATACATACATTGCTGTTGTGTTTTGTTCACAGTCTCCCTCTGATTCTCTTCTGGGAGTGCTCTCTCTTGAAACGCCGCCAAGATAGCTGGACCGGGCAGGAAACGGCACAGCTCAGATCCAGACCCCTGTGGAAGCAGCTCCAGCAGCGGGAGCGAGGTAGGAGACAGCCGACCCATTAGCAGCAAGTGGCTGAAGATGGCCAGCAGCAGTACAGGCCCCAGTGAATCGGGCCGGAGGCGAGGTCAGAGAGGTCCTGACGACGCGGTCAGCACCAGTAAGAAGAAGCAGAAGGACAGAGCCAACCAGGAGAGCAAGGAGGCCAAGCGGGCCACCTCAGCCACCAGCTCAGAGACTAGAAAAGGTGAGGGGTGACTTAGTTTGTAAACACTCATGAAGTAGGTCTGAATTGCTTTTTCCCCAATTCATTTTATCTCTTATCTTTTTGATTGTCCTTTGGTTTTGTCTTCCGCCAGCTGTTACTCTTGGTCTTTGAAATCAAGCTGTTGAGTACTAGACGGATATTTGATTCATATGCTTGGGGCATGGGATAAAACATTTACCGCAGTGATATCTAATATAATATGAACTGATAGGAAGCGTCTGTGGTGCAGTGTCCTTTTGCCCATTATAAAATGCAGACTGGCCCATAACTTGAGGTTAAAGTCATTAAAGGTATTGTATAGTCCTTGTCCTATTTTCGTGTACAGAGCTGGGCTGGTTTCCAATCTGTTACGTAGTGTGGTAAACGGGGAACTGGAAAGTTAACAGACATTAACTGTGTGAAAGAAGCTGAACTCGTGTAGTTGTTCTGCCATGCTATTCAGTATTGATTTAGCTATGGCACTGTGTCCTGAGCTTGTCTAATGAATTGGTTGTTGTGTGGCATTAGAAGCTGGTTTTGGTTGGTATGTGGCAAATCCAGTTTCATTTCGAATTACATTTATGATAATCATCTTTAGGTAATTATCTTTGAACAAAACAAGGAAGTAATGAAAGTAAAACTACAACAATTAGAGCTGACCTGAATGATCTCAGATGGTTTTTTTTGTTTCGTTTTTTTTGTACAGATATGTAGGACTATATTTCATATTACTGATAGTTACTGTCATTTGTGTTAAAATGATAGTTCTAAAAGATAGACCTAAAAATCTTAAATTCTGTCATTTACTCACCTTCATGAAAGTCAGTGGCTACCATCGACTGTTTACCATCATTCTTCACAATATTTTCTTTGCTGCTTGAAAAAAAGAAAACTCAGACAGGTTGAGGCTGAATAAATGATGACTGATGAATTTTCATTTTTGGGGGAACTATGCCTTTAAATAAGCCTTATTTTATGTTTTGACTGTATATGTATTGTTTATTTAGTTTGTGGTGGCTTTTCTAATCATCTAATGTTATCATGCACCTGGCATTCATGGAGAATTTTAGCATCTTAGCGTACGTGTGTCTATATATGGCAACTTCTTAGACTTCGTTGAATATGCTTAAGTTGGCCAGTCTAGAGAGAGATGGATATTGTTTTATGACAGATAGGGATGTAACGATTACCGGTTTGACGATAAATCGTGATAAAATACCCCACGGTTAGTATTACCGTTTCATATTTAAATTATCACTATAACCGTCTTCGATTACCGCGATTTGAACAACTGAGGATAAATAAATACTGTACTGCACAGGGCTCCAGTGTACGACCAAATGGGCGCATTTTGCGATAATTTTTTCTGCCGGTGTGACTAAATTTTGTGTGCGGTCTCACTGGCACGACCACCGCGTTGTTTAACTCATAAGCCTGGTTTATAC